CATGTGAAAAGTTATATTTTCACTATTCTATCCTACTCATAAGTTTTTAAGGTGAAACTGATCTTTATATTTAAAATATCAAGGCGTTGTTGATCTGTCTTGCACAGTATTCTGTTAATCTTGAAGTGGTATAGCGCTCATAGGATTTTTCCATGACTGTAGATATTATCAGGGATCCTCGTGGCGAGTGGCAAAAACTATTTGGTGTTAAATCTATTTGATTGACTTTCGCAAAAAAAAAACCTCATGCAAATCATAATTGTTAGCGCATCACCGCACACTTACCGTAACCCACACGGGACTGTTGGAAAATGTTTATCAAGACCTCGTCCGCTCGATAGCTTTTATACCAGTGCTGAAGCAGGGTTTTTTCAGTAAGGGGGTTTGACTATCTCTGTAAATGAAAAAGCACGGTTAGCTACCTCAACGTTCTTATAGGCTTTCCAACCTCTGTGAGCCTGTCTCTCGAAAAAATTATTTTTGCAGGATTAGTCAAATTTAAATCTTCTAAAGCTTCATTGCCCTGAGAACGGGTTGATTGCGTGATCCTATACTTTTGATTTTATTTTCATTTTTTTCATGGGTTTATATTAATTATTCCCATTTTTTCATGAAAGATTTTATCTAGTTTTTATTTTCATGGCTCTGACAACCAGTTCATTGCATGATTTTATATTTTTTGATGCCCTATTTTTGAAATTGTTGAGATCCTTCAATGGTTGTTTCTTATGATTAGTTTAAGAATCTCGGATGGAGCCACTATTCCCGAAAAGCGAAAAACACTTCTGCGCTAAAGCAGGCAAAAGTGTGTTCTTCTTAGAAAATCTTGTTTGCCATAGCGTCCGTTCACTCCTCCACCTCCTTCCAGTGTTGTTTTGCTCCCTGCACATCATACGTGTTCCCCCCTCTTGAGTGTCAACAATTCCATGAGCAACAGCCAAACGTAACGTGACCGCGATTACCACCTCAGTGGCCACAATTGCAATTTTTGTCTAGAATGCTTAGTATTTGAAAAGAGGGCTCAGCATGAGGTGGCTTTCCTAATATGCAAAAAAAAGAAGTCCCCTATGACTTTCGCAAAATTTTAGGAAGTCCCCTTTGGCCAAAATCGGAAAGTCGATTCAAAAAAGCCTAACATAACCTGTATTTTACCATACCGCAAAAACGGTATACGAAAACATCCAGATTGCTTGATTAAGTAATAATAAAGCTTATTTCTAGGCAAGACCTTTTGGTCACATGAAGGCTTAATTTGCGTTTGATTATATTTTAAAAAATTTCCCACATTCATGGCGCTTACCGCATTCGTTCGTGATACAATTAGTCGACAGCATAGTTTACCCAACGGGTAACCTTGAAGGAAACTTACTAGAAACCAGTTTTTATTGTGCATTCTTAGAGTAAAGGAGCGATGGTGACAGCGAGAAGTAATTGAGGGATGCAATTTCTGTGGTAACAAAATTGGAAAATGATGTAGTTTTCCTGTGATTTTGTTTTTATTAATTTTTTTTGTTCGAAAGTTGTTCTTTAAGCTTTAATCTAGTCTTCAATTGCTTGGAGCAATTACGTCACATTTTTTCGGTTAAATTCCTCTGCCTTTATTTTGGCGAAATTTCCTGGTCACCTTATCTCTAGAATCACGTAACCTTAATGAGAATTATTATAAGTGTTCCAGAAGATTGTCTTTTGTAGCACCTTGTTATGACTACTTTTTATTATCGATATGACTATGGTCATTAACCTTGATATTCGCTATTTTTATTTCTTTACGGAGTGAAACTATGAAAGCATAATATGGGAATGTCCATATTGGGGAAGGGATTCACGTCCCGTTCCAAAAATTTGCCGCTTTTTGCTGTTGTCTGTGAAATAAAAAAATGGGGAATAAAATAGTTCCTGATTTTTTTTTGCTGTTCTTTACTGTTTTTTATATTTTCGTTTGGTTTTCACATCTTTCGTTAATGACTTCGTGTTGATCACTATTTACTCTTAAACAATAAAAAGAAAAGGCCAAGTTCGTTCAATCCCTCTTGACTCTCTCACTTTATGGAGGCTAGATTGTGTTAAATCTACGCTTTCGAAATTAGATTTACGCTTTCTCTTTTTTCGAATTTAGCCCTAACCAGTGGAAGCAGAAATAGCATTGATTGATCAAATTATTGGTCTCATCTGTTCTCTAAAAGTTCAGCGTGACCTGAAGCTGACGATGAAACCAGTTTTCTATATTTACACAGCCGCGCACTTATGTCGCTAGTGAACCTCATAACCAGTTGTTGTTCGTGACTTCCGCACGAGTGCTAGGTGTGAGTACATCTATGCGATCAATTCTGGAAATTTCTAGAAGTAGAGCTCATCCTGGTCCCTTACTCTATATATTTCTCATCTTCCAGTGCTGAAAACAAAGACATCCCCACGAGATTGATTATCACCCAATAAAACTCGTCCTATCGCTCGTTGCACTTTTCTCATGCGTATTAAACTGCACTTTAGCTGCCGTGCCAAAGATACAATTGCTCTGACACCGAGAACTCGTCCGCGAAATCGATTCTCACACAGTAACAAATTGTTATGGAGAATGTTCGCCACTATTTTGTCCCCCTGCAATGCGAGAACGTGTCGTAGAGATTGCCATTCACTCGCATTGTTTTTACGTTCCAAACGCCAACTGCGTGAAATTCGATATGCAATCATGAATGCCATATGGCACTCGACTGCAAAAACGAGCCGAGCTATTTTTATGCTTGCCGCATTTTACGGCGCATATTCTGACTTAACTACCTTGCCTTGCATTCCGTTCATTGCTTTCTTTGTCATTCTTCGAAAGGAATGAAAAGCTAATTCTTTTACATTCATTAATCAGTGATCTGATATCTGAAATGATCTCCACCAAAAACCTATCCAATTGATTGTTTATTCCATTTATCAGCTTCGAAAAAACGAAACGAGAAACGAAACAAAAGTCTGTTAAGATCTCCTGAAAGATTGGTTTCTTTCCCTTTTCACCATTCCATTTTTTCTTTACTGCTTATCTGCCCTAACTTACGCTAATTGCGTAATTGCTAAATCAAAGAATTCATGGTTATTAAGTGGACAATAAATATGTCAGTCCTGTTTTTCTCATTTGTATAGCTTTTCCGTACCAATCATGTGAACGTGTTTTCAATAGTAAAACTAGCAATTTCCGGTGAATTACTCTCCGCTTGGTAGTTTGCAGTATCTCATGGAGTTAGTACTTGGTTGGTTTCGAAGTTTCAGTACGCATTATAGACTATGGAAATATACTTCAAAAGAAAACATTCTAGGGGACTTTTCCACTGACTGCGAAATCATATTTGTGCCGAACGTACTCATTAATGATATTGTATCATAAGAGTCATACCCAGGGTTTGGCACAGGTAGCCTACAAGCAAGCTGGATATCGTTTTTGGGACAAGAAGCAAAGGGGGTTTCGGTTTTGTGGCCGGAAAGACACGAAGTTTGCGACGTTTTTTTTAGTCGACGTTTCGTTTTTTGGAGGTTTTTAGGGATTATGGTTTAGGGTCAAAGGGGACTTCGTAAAAATTCGCAAAATTCATGGGGACTTCGTTTCTTGTTTTGTCAACTAGCCACCTCGTGCCGAGCCCTGATCATATCTTATTCGTGATCTGATTTTTCTTTTATTTTCTTAATAATAATCAGTGATAATCAGTGAAGATACTTACCTTGTAGAACTCCCAAAATTCACCGAAACATTATTGTGAAAGATGACCTTCTTGCACTGCTACTAAATGTTTTTTCAATAGATGACCTTTTACACCGCTACCGTAACTGCAGCATTGTTGAGTGACTTTCAAAATTTACTCCTTTGCGATAAGAACAATCCATCTCCAACCTTTTGAAAAAACATAGCTCAAGAGCCAAGCCACTTTTATAGGTGCATACGATATATCGGAGCAAAAAAGTTCACATTCATTCTAAACGACAATCTTTTTTCTCTTTTTTTTTGATCTTGCTCACGGGGGAAGTGGCAGTTATGGAAGTGCAGTATTCTAGGTGGAAAAGGTTTATATCTGCTTCAAACCTCGCTGTAAGCATTTATTCAACTTTCTTTTGGTTAACTGTACTACAGAATGTAGCTGTATATAATGTGCTCATTGACCTGTCTGAGTTAGGGTAGTATAGGTAAATTCTGTAAAAAGGTTTACATGCCGTCATATTCAGGTAGCTTACGGAATGTTGGTGTAAAAAGCACATTCTCCACGGCCTCAGTAATGTTTTCCAACTCTTTTTTCATTTTGCATTTTTGCATATTGAAGCCGCTGAGATTTGCAAAGGGCGCGTAAAGTGTGAAAATATTGCTCACAGATGAGCGCCCAATATCTTGCGGCTCATCGAGCATCCAAAGATGAAAAAAGCGCGCCTAAGGCGGTGCTGTGAGTGTGTGTGTTTTGTGCCAGAGATTCGAAGGCGAATGAGTTTGCTCAGCTGCTGCCGGGCGGCTCGTCAGGCGGCGTTAAATCCATTGCGATGGAGCTGCCGGCCGGATGTGAAGGTCATCGTCATTTTGTGCGCTTCGGCACCTTCCCCCTCCCCCCCTCCCACCTTCAGCGCCATCACCTTCCGTGTCTGATTGTTCGTTCCCACTTCTCAGCGCAACCCATTCACTTGATTTTTTTGCCTTGTCGCTAGGAAAGGGGGAGGGGGGTGATTGCGAGACAAGCGCACCGTCTAGTGCCATTCTTCTTCTTCCAAAGAGCGATGACATCGTGGGCTGCACACCATGGCATCGCCTGGACGATGAAAGAACAGGCCCCGCTCGAATGCGGTTATCTCTCTCTCCCCTTGAAGGCGCAATCGCTTTCTTTTTTGACTTTGACATGAAATTTTACTCCTCCTCCACTCCTCTTCCTCGTTCAATGTTCCTCAGTTTACGCTGCACAGCTTCTCGTCTGCCATAATTTACGTCAAATGATGTCGTTTCGCTGATTGATTTTCAGTATTGTAAAGTTGACGTTGTCAATTTTCAGGGAACAAAAAATTCACTATTTCGATTGCAAGCATGGCCGCCGAAGCGAAGGAAGAATTCCTCGAGTTTGAAACGGTTTGTGTTGTTTATTTCTTCTTTTTCTGGATAGAGATGAAGTGACAGTTACTGTTTCTGTGAAAATCCGAGGCCTTACTACCAAAATTCTCTGCGAATTTCCATAGAGGAATGGTTAAACATGCTGTTCAAATACCTTACGATTTTCTTGCAACACTACCCTAGGTCTGGTTACGGTAGGAATATGGTATGGGTTCGCACCTTCATGCCACAGCCAGGTTCTGTTTCAGTGACTTTTTTTTTACTCATAGAGCATGAAAGCCGCAGAGCATCAACCCTATACTGTATACTAATCGTAACACCATTTCACAAAAATGTTTGACTGTTGGGAATGATAATTATTTTTGCAAAAGTATCTCATCACAGATCGAAATTCAATGAATTTTTGAAAAATTGGAAATTTTGCATTTCTGAGTTGCATAAATTGTCCTGCGCTGTGGCGTTTTGTAGAAATCAAAATTTTAAGGCGAGGTCAAATCATTAATCTATAATAATTTGTATATTGTATAATAATTTGATATGATATCAAACAAATACTTTTGCCATGACTAATTCTGCAAAATACATAATTTTCTATGGATCCCGTAACTTTTCAAAATATTTTGATGAAAAATGAGGAGCTTCGCGAATTTTTGTCCCTCCCCCCCCCCCCCTTCTTGTAAAGCATATCCTTCAAAATTCACTTTCAGGCCATGCGAGACTTCTCCACAATGTTCCCGTCAATTTCACGAGAACAAATTGAGCGAGTGTTAAGGGCAAACGATGGCGACGTAGCAAAGACCATCGATGATCTTCTTCTCATTTCATTAGAGGTATATATTTTTACATTTCCATATATAGTTAGAATACTCTGAATTCTTGTACCTTTATTTATAAAAGTTCTCCGAGACTTATCAGACCCGTTTGGGTGGTTTTAAGATGAGCCCCTTGCTTCTGCGATGTAACAGATGTCACATAGCTTCTATCTTGTTTTTTACAAAAACTTTCCCCCACCCCCCCCCCCCCTTCTCATCGATCTCTTCTTTCCATCCATTCTTGAAGAAGTTCCCAAGATATACTAAATAGCTTTCGTTGCGCAAGAAGACAAAGTATCAAAGATGAAGAAGTTTTGAGGAAATCTGATGCTTTTCTTGCTTAGCGGTTAAAAGACAGTGAAAGAAAAAACCAGAAAAATATAAGAAGTTTCCAGCATCTGCAACAATGTCACGCACGTCATTTGAAACAAAACTTGCCTTGCAAATTTTATACGGCTTAAAAGCAAAGAGTGATGGCTTTGTTCGAAAAAAAATTTGGTATTGAGTTTCAAGAAATCTGCATTTTCTTCCCGAATTCAAAAATCAAATGTCCACATTTTAACCATTTCCTTTCAGGCAACACAAATTTCTACGCCGACGTCAACATCATGTCGAAGTCAAAGCGCACCTTCTACCGCTAAAGTAAGTTTATGCCTTTGGAAAACATGCCTGTATGTGAAAGAAACTTTGTTATTTTGTACAAAAAAAATTTTGAATTTGTGAAATTTTGGATTCTTTTCAGGCCGTGCATTTCGAGTCATCATCTGCTCGTCGTTCGACAGATGACGCATCACCATCAACTAGAGCTGCACCACTGAGGTAGGTGCATTTCCATTTCCTAGTAAATTGATTTTTCCCCAAAAAATATTAAAAGACGTTTTCATGCTTTCAAAAAAGAATTGCCTGAAGTACACTCTTTCGAATTTGTTCCTGGCAAATTTATCACATTTTTGTGTAAATTCTCAATTTTATCAATGATTTAATTTTCGCTTTCAAGCTTCAAACAAAGATTGTCAAAAGCACATTTTGTGACTATATTTTTTTTAATTTGACAAATTTATTGCATTTTCATATGAATCGCAATTCTATCATTTTTTATTCAGATTTTATCGCATTTTCATAGAAAATTTACTGTTCTTCCGCTACTATTCACTATTTAGCGTTTTTATAGAGATTTTAGTTCCATGTCTGCTACTTGATTATTTTCCGGATCGTAAAGCGTTTACTTTTTTGCCGACCAAAACACTCAATCAGCGCTGCATATTTTTGTTATAGAAAGTTGATTTGCATATAGATGGTCGCCAAGCAGTGCAGGCCTTCAGATTCAAGAAATTTAGGGATGTGGACATCAGCAAATTTTGTTTCTCAACTTCTGTGTTTCTGAACTTTTTGAAGAGTTATAGAGTACTGGGAATTTGTTGAGTACTGTCTTTCACATTATCAATATTTTGACATAAAATCACGACCTGAATATGAATACTCCCTTTTGTTTTTATTCACTAACGTGAAATGAAAATGATTGCGATCATTAACCGTGTACACAAATTTGATTACTGTCATGTATTCTCATCAGCCATTATTTGTTTCCCTTACATTCTAAACACATCTTTGAAGATATCCAGAAAGAGAAAATACTCAAAATTTGGTCTAGAACCTACCCGTGGAAAAAAGATTAGGTAAATTTTCAGAAATGGCATACGTAACTTCTACTGGTTTAGTTTTCAAACATATGGTTCATGAGGGTCATTGAGTCCGAAAAATTCTGAGAGTCTTGACACTATTTTTTGTCAACTCATCTTCTGATTTGGTTCACTGATCTTTTTTAGTTAGGGAAAAACAACTTTGCGCGACTATTATGTACCTATGTACCTAATTCAGCGCTTTTGAACTCCCCGTTTTTCATATCCAAACCAAACCTTTTGACTTTCTTTTCAGTCAAAAGTACCTTTCAGAGTTTCTCGACTGAGCGCAGAAGAAGTTTCTCGAGAACGTGCGCGAATAGAGAGGATGAAGAAGGAGAACGAACGACGACTAGACGTCGTTTGTGATGAAAAAGAAGCCAGGTAATAAACCTTTATTGCTTTGAAATCAGCGGGACGATGGGAGAGCAAGTTTAAGCAAAAAGATTTATGAACTCGACTAATGATATGCGGTTTGATCATGTATATGCGTAGTTCAAAACCGTCTGAATTTGACAGGCGCTCACTTTCTCTTCCACCAAATTTGCTTCACAATTATGGTGGAAGAGAAAGAGAAGGGAGGATAGAAGAATGAAGGAAAAAAAGAGAAAAAGAGAAAGAAAGCAAGCAGAACTTGTAGTGTAGAGGAGTTTGAGGATTGGCTATTCTATGCCTGATACTTCCAAGTGGAGCAGAGATACGATGAGGAGGAAGGGAAGAGAGAAGGGGTGGAAAGGAATCGGAAGAAATTCACACGTGTTTAATGAAATGGCTGCCTTATATAAATGGTTCAATGTTGTTTTATGTTTTACCAATAAAAAACCAGGGTTTAGGCTGCTGGAAGATGAACAATTGGCTCTACTAATGCAGAATAAGGAATTTATTCGCTGGCTCAGAAGAGAACAATACCGTAAGCATCACGTATTACTGTTACTATCCCATTTGTGTTGCAACCTACAAACATAGACTAGAAGAACGAGAATTTTCCATTTTTAGCGTGTTCGTCATATGCCACATATTCTGGTAGATCGCACAACCATAGAAAACGAACTTCGCACACAAAAGATCACGGCAAGGGTGCAATAGCAGTCTCACAAATTACATCGTTCAAGAAAAATATTTCAGGACCACGAGTACCAGAAGGACCCGTTGTTGACGAACTTATCATCAACGCAGAGCCCGATCTCAAAGATAGGCTAAAGAATGTGAGCAAAGGTGAGTTCCTGAACGAGAGGCTTACGAAAACTTATAAGAGCGATAAATTCAAAGTGTATGCTAAAAATGGTAAAAGATTGTAAAACAAAAAACATCAGTTATATGATTTCAATATTGAAATATATATTTATATTTATATATTATATAAATATATATTTATATTTATACATATTTATATATTTTATATTTCAATATTGAAATCAGTTATCACAGTATGCCCAGGTTTCAAGACAATAGGACATATAGTACATCAGTTATATTTTCTTTTTCAGTCTCCAAGGAACGTCTGCTGCAGCTTGCCGCACGTTTTCGACGAAGTAATGACGCTCATCTCAATGCTTTCTAATTATGTATTTCACCCTATTTTGATGAATGATATTTCATATCGATAAATTTTTTGACTTTCTCGCTTGTCTTTGATTGATTGTTGCATGAAAGTAAAATTAACTAGAATATGTGGAGATTCATTACAAGTGGGAAAAAATAACAAAAACAAATTACTAGCCTAGCCTATGCAGTATTTATCAACTTGATGGATCCTTCAGTATATCTTTTGCTGAGATTTCGTTTATCCTAAGCACGGTCATTTCTTCGCTAAGCCCTGGAATGCATCATTTAGAAGGTACCATGTTTCGGACTATTGGAAAATGCACTTACAATGTATAATTTTCATATGTTCGTGATTATTTCGAATGTATTTCAACTCCGGATATGTAGTAGTTTTCTCCACTACTGTAGCTTTCACCGTAACTGAGTTAAGCAGAGGTCGTCCAAAAATTGAAAAATTGCTTCCTCCAACCATCAACACCTAGAATCATATTGACAATGATAGCACAGTAAGACACGATAACTGAAGATCTTTATTGGGGCCCCTTGCACGTACAGCTACCGCAAGAATCCAAGAAAAACTTGCTGCAATTTCAAGAGATGCGTGGAAAATGCAAAATAATGCGAGCACTATAAACGCAACAAACCTTCTCTAGTTTGATTCGTTCACCCACAGCTAGCGGTAAGCTTCCCCTTAATGCGATGAGATCGTTCTGTTCCACCTTCCATTGTCGACCATTAACGTATACAACAGCGAATAACCGTACAGCTGGATCTGCTACTTCAGAGGAAATTGTCGAACACACCTGTACACAAGCAAGAATGAACCATTTTTGCATGTAAGAGGCAAAATCGATGCGGTGAGGTCCCATTCAATTTCGTTAGCACATTGGCCTCGGTCATACCCCACAAGGTTGCGAAAAATCGCTATCACTGCGACTTTATAGGTGTTATTTTATCCAACGCGCGCAGATTTCGAGTGCCAAGCGCAAAATTTTCAGGAGTTTATGCAAGACCGTCGAATCTTGCTTACCGTGCGCTGACGAAGAATTATGAGCCATCGCAGCGAGAATCGCGCGGCAACCGAAATCGAGCGAGTATGACCGATGCCACAGTAAGAAGAACGCGCAGCTAGTTAGATTTTGTGTAAACATGATTAGGCCAAAAATCATAACTTTCATAAATATGAACGGCTGCCACTCAACATCTGATAACAGAGGCTAAGCCGCGGTCAGATTCATCGGTGAAGCTCAGATTTGAGACCGACCTTAGGTAAGACATCATCTGACATACCCGTATTCACGAGCAATCACCTTTTTCATAAGGTAGAAATAACCTCAGAAGGTTTTTCCAAGGTTTTCCGGCTCAAGCTCGCTGATGAATAAGGGTAATCAAACATCCCAATTTGAAAATAGAAAAAGCTGCTATACAGGAGCCTTACAAGAACTATTTTGCAACGTTTCCAAAGCCAGATCGATATGTATGTTTACCTGCTTTTGCGCACCTTCATCTACTATTTCAGCTCGAGTAGCTAATCGTCGGGCTACGATACGAGACAGTGCAGTTCGAAACATATCTGAGCATTGATCATTCAAAATGTCTTCAAAAGATACAATAATCAATCTTTAAATGACGTGGTATGAAATGAATTCAATCATTCAAGAAGAAACACACTGCTGAAGAAGACTTTATGAGGCACTTGAAATATTCAGTTAGGTTTTCTTGAAGCAACTTTCGTCCAGTCCGCTTGTATCAATCTCAATCTGTTCCGCAAGTTGCGCGAAAGCAGCTCGTTCTTCTTCATTCAAAGCTCCCAACAACTGTTCGACCTCTCCACCAATCCCTAGTCCCTGAAGAAAATTGGAATTGACACCCATTGCTTTCGCCTACAGCTTGTCATTCACCAAAAGCTTTCTATCTATCTCATCCTCATCCAAGACATAGTCATCAATCGTCTCCTTCACGACTTTCTCCAAGTACTTGTCTTCTTTTTGTGGGAACGAACAGCTTCCAGCAGTGTCCTCGTCATCAGAGTCAAGAGGCTCACCATCTTCGTCAGGGGCTCCGCTGCTGCTTGCTCCTGTAACTCGGCCACTGACCTCACAAAGATAAGTGCCCGCTCGAAACAAATCATGCAGAAAACAAGGATTTTTGTAATATGAGTCTACTAGAAAAGCCTGGAATTGCTAATGGCCCCTTGCCTATGGCTTGTATATCCTGCAATGAACTCAACACTCCTCATTCGAACTCAACATCTCCTTATTTTATTGTATTATGGATAGCTGCTTACAATGTCTATGCAGAAACAAGAAAGGATACCCAAAACAACACAACTTAAAACCTACCCGGCAAATCCTTGATCTCCCCATTCAAATACTTCTGCATGCGCTCTTCGAACGTATCCTGCTTCTCGTTATCTGCTTGTCCTTCGAAATGCCGCCCTTCGAGGTGCTCTTTTAAACAATCTTTGTAGAATGACTCGGAGCACTTGGAATGTTTTTCGCCCCGATAACATCTGAAGCATCCTGTTAGACAAAGCAAAAAAAATCAGGTATAGCAATTACCTTAGTGAGCAGTAATTTGCGCTGCATCTAGGGCACTTGTACTGCTCTCGCCGCTCCGTAGTGCAGAAATCGCATCTAATCATCTGTAAATGATGAGTCAAACATAGAATGCACGGAGAAAAGAATTGGAGATGGCCGAGATAGTGCACAGATACAACCCTCAACGACGATGAATTGAAAAAAAAGACAAATTAGAACTTCATTTGTACAGCCACAACCACAAAAGAGTTTAAACATAACAAAAATTCAACAGACAACATGCATAATAAAGTTGGCTAATACAGGAACAAGTAAAGCTTAGATCATCTAGTCTTCGTCTTCTTCTTCATCTTCATCTTCTTCCTCTTCTTCATCCCCATCCTCATCCTCCTCCTCGTCTTCATCAACTTCCTCGTCGGACTGCTCTTCTGCGTTACCATTCACGGCAGCGCCGTCTCCCTCGTCAGAATCCTCCATTCTTCTCTTTTTCTTCTTATCCATGATATCGTCAAAGAATCTTAACAGAGCTGCATCAGCAAACTTATGAAAGGTCTCAGCACACAAATCTTATATATAAAGCTGAATGTCTGTCTGTATGTCTGTCTGTATGTCTGTACGTATGTGCGGAATAGAAATTTTTATTTCTGAACCGATTTGGACCAAACTTGGCACATATATACTTCGGGGCAGGGAGCGTGTCATAGGCTACTTTTCGTTATCGATCGATATCGATTTTTTGCAAAATTTGAGCTACGGGGCTGGGAGTTGGCACAGGGGGGTAATCGAGCATGCTGATTACGAATATAATAATGACAGGGCCGGGCCGAGCCGGGTTTGCCAGCTAGTGGCTCATAAAAAGACCGCAAATACTGAAGTACACTTGGAGAAAAAGACCGGTTTGATCAATGTATTCTTCATAAACACTGCAGGACTTTTTCCCTCGTGGATTTACGAAAGGGATAAATAAACACAAAATATTTTGCTTCCTTATGACCCAAATTTTGGCCTCGCTGAGTAAAATTTAAGTAGCAAAGTCCATTACCCTTCCTTCACAACCGGTTTTCGCTTATTTATGTCCACCACGCGAAGGACTGGGACTTTCTTCAGAATAGGATCCAGAGGCCAAAACTTCACAGATTCAGCAAATGTAGACATTGAAATCAAAGTGGACCCATCAGGAGTCACCTGAATCTATTGAAGCTTATGGGATAAAAACTAATTCGAACGTCATACCATAAGTTGGTCGATGCCATCGTCATGACCATGGGTTCCAGCAACTCCCAACTTCTTTGTAGGCATAACATTGATCAGCCTAAAAGATCAAAAACTCGTGAGAAAGTCAAAAATATGAACTATTGGTACCTCAGCTTATCAGAACTACCACTGCAAGTGAGAAGAAGGCCATTTCTTAGTTCAACGACGTCATCCACACCCTGAATAGCCGACAAATCTAAAGCAATTATGAATAGCGCATGCACTAATCTTATGATGAGAAACACTGTGATCAATTTTTGAAAAAGCGTTGAAAGTGAACCAATCAAACAAAATATAATCAGGCAACTACTGGAAAACCAATAATCAGAAGGAAAATACCATTTCAAATCCGGTTTCAATCCTCTCCAAGATATTCCCATAATCACCATGTACGAAAACTTCAAGGTAACCATCACGCCCACCAGCATAAACATACCTAAAAAATGCAGAACTTCAGTAAGCTGTAGCTTATAGAAATGCGGATACACTGAGAATGTGAAAGTGACGCACTTATCAGTCACGCACAGACTAACGAGCTCAGAATGCATCGTCTCACTCTTCATACGAAGTTTCCGCTTTCGAACATCATAGGCAGCAAGTGTACCATCCGACGAGGCAGAAAGTAAGTTGTGACGTGTATCGGTTTTCAGCGCATTGATATTCTAGAAGGAATGCTATGCTACTATGTTAAATAAATGTGTGATGAGACAGGATTCTTAGGACCGATTGCTACCTCCTCTTGCTCCTTCCAAGAGCAAATTCTAGGAACATCCGCCCGGAAGTCCCATGTCCGAACCTTAAAACACCTCAAATGAAAAACTGCTGCACACGTCAATGAATGTGCAAAAGTACAAGTTCAAAATAGGAGAATAAAAGGGAATATGAAAGAGAATTTCTGCTTTCTAGTACAGTCGAGAATAACTTTGGTGTAACATAAGCACCTCGCCTGATTCGTCTCCAGTGGCAAACTGTTGATTTTTACTAGCTATTGGTTGTATGAAACAGATAGATGTTGGTTTATCGTCGTGTCCACGCATAATGCATCGTTTTCTGGAAACTCAAACTCAGAGAAGCCATCTGATCAGCGCTAGAGCACCTTGTTCCGGTCTCAACATCAAAGCACGATACCCCTTTGTTACTGGTTACTGCGAATAGTTCCGACTGATCCTGGTTAAATACCATGGCGCGAACGCCTCCTTTTGTTTGAAACCTCCAGTGAGTCTGAAGAACTTCAACTAAAAATAGAAAAAAAACTCTGAAAAGGAAATGATACCTGCAATTGTTTCTCAGTGAGATCATGTCTACCCATCTGTACTATCCCGTCCATAAAACCCAAAGCGATATTCCCGTTGTCGCCGGCAGTGAAGCAAGATGGGGGAAAGTCGAGCACTTCCTCCATTGTTGAAGGCTCAAGTGAGCATATAAAATATGTGCTTTCTAAACAACACAAACAGGTAAGAATAAAACCAGAAGTTTTCTGATGTTTCGACATAAACAAAAGACATTTGCACAAATCAAACATTCAAACGCAGTAACTGAGAAAGCGAATTGACAACCTTACAAGAGGAAAGAGCTTACATTAGTTCAGGCCCTCCCAAGGGAGGATCGCGAAGTCGAAGTGCTCGGTCACCACAAACTGCATACCATTAGTGAAAGCCTGGAGCGGTGATACCAAATCTGCTCTTTCTATCTGCAAAGTGCCTTTGGAAAAGAAATTATGAGCATTACTTCAGGAACACGGACTTATAGGTGGGATAAAATCAAGGTCTGATATCTCTCTAGACCTCAAGTGAAACACCAGCAACCGTTAGGATACTCCATACGATACTCTCTTTCTGTCTGGTATGACACTACTTTCTTCTCCATTTCACGTCTAGAAAGGCTGTAACGACTGATTTTATCACGGCCACTAGTTCATTTTTTGCCTCAAAAGGTGCTATAACTTTTGTTCCCAAAAGGCTCTGGAGATATAGGGGCCTGCAGGATCGCGAGAGTCGGACGTGCGTACGGCCACTGCGCCGCGCACGTCTGATGTCACTAGGGCAGGTGCCAGATTCATCCGCTTCAACCGGTTCGTTCGGCTCATGGGTCAAATTACTACATTGTCCACAGAAAAGGTGGTGAACCGAATGAACCTGTTGAACAGGATAAGTCTGGCACCTACCCGAGTCGTCGGACGCCGATCTGACGTGCGCGGCGCAATGGCCGTACGCACGTCCGACTCTCGCGATCCTGCAGGCCCCTATAGGAAGGCAGATTTAGAATCAGCAATCCAAGCTCTCATTAAAGGTATGCAGTTTGTGGTATTGACCACATCGACTTTGCGATCCTCCCTTGTCATTTAGCTAGAGGTACTGGCGAAACCAAAAGCTCAGTAAATTGCAGACTTTATGCCTCCATTCATTTCCAATTTTCGAGCGGGAGACGGTCAAGAGGCGCGATTTATCCGGCTGTCGTCAAATACTCCAGTTTAGTGCTATGCGAGTCTTCAGAAAGGCCAGATAAACTGCGCTGGCTTAGTATCTGTCTGAGGTTACCACTTGCTGTGTTTGGCGGCTTTTGCTGGAAAACGGACCAAAATATTCACGAGTTTATTCTCACCTGCATTTTCAAAGGTTTTGACCCTCAAAACCGCTGTTTCGAATTGATTACAAGGCAGCAAAATTAAGCAACTCATGCAGTTATAGATAGTAATATAATTAGTAATAGATTACTCCTTTTGGATCTTATTATGTGCTAACTGGTGCCCACCTGGCAATATAAATCGCCCCTCTTGACATACACCTCACCTCTTTCGAGCTAGCTCGATAATCGCCACGTTTTTATTTGCAGTTATCGCATCTCTCCATTTGATACAGATTCTTATTTGCAGAACACTCCAACAGAGAGAAGTGATACGGAATAAAACTCAGTTCTCGAAATTCTGTGCCTGCAACCTATTCAAACTACTGATTTAGCAATTCACGAGATTCGACCAAAAATCAAGAAACAGAGCTTAGCTCAGAGATTCAATTATTCAAGTAGTCTAGCCTCAGGTATGTGAAATTGAGGGAACAGTAAAAAAAATAAGGAGCTTAATGAAACAAAAATTCGTAAAAGCCAGTTTAGCGTCATGTGTAGAATATTGGCTGCAGCTACAGACTTACTTAACCGACGTAAAAAAATTCGATTTAGCGTACAACAATGACTTCTTGGAGGAAGTCGTTTGCCCTTACCTTCCTGGAAGCCAGGTTTACTGACCAAAGCTTCGTCGCCATCTATTTAATCCATGGCCTTCAAATGCTTTAAAGTTGATAGATATCCAGGATTTCTAAGACCAAATACGACAACGGAGAAGATATAAGAATTTAATTTATATACAAATGCTCAGACAAAGGAAGATTTGGCGAATTCAATCGTCATCCGAGTCACTAACAATAACGCGCTGTTTTTTCTTCTTTAGCGACAGTGGTGACGACCTGATTGATTCTTCATCTGGTTCTGGTGTTTTCTCTTTACGCTCTTCTACAGGAGAGTCATCTTCCTCATCGGAACTGGCAAGAACTCGCTTTCTTTTGTGAGAGCTCTGAAAAGGAAGTGTATCGTGGTGTACTGGTTGGTTGTCACTAACTTTAACAGTCGCATTTACAGTTGGCTCCTCGTTTGATCTCGCGTCTACGGAAGGCGTTTTCAACGCTACTTCCTCATCCATATCATCTCTAGGGGGTTCTTTCGTTTTTTCGAGCATCGTAGATGGATTTGTGTTCTCTTTCTCCATATCACCTGTCGTTCCTATGGCATCGTTATGATCATCATCCTGAAATATATTTGCTACTAGTCTAGCTCATCAGTTCTAAACAATATTTCTAGGTTGAAGTCAACGCAGTCTTACACTAGTCGGAAGCCTTTCCATTTCTTAGAGATTCACTTACCGAAGGCTCATCAAGTTCAAGCTCAGCATCACTGTTCTCGCTATGATGACTTCCTGCTTCATCTCCTTCTTCATTGTAGCTAACATCTTTTGCTTTTCTGGATTTTCTTCTGAAAATGTTCATAGTTACTCAACTTGGGGGAGAACGCATAATTTGTACTTCGTGGCCCTTGGCTTGTCGCGAGGTTTGATCACAGCGCCAATAGATTCAAGCTCTTTTTCGACTTGTCGTCTCGGTCTTTTCTCACTCAGTCGTCGCATCACGTAGTCGACCAAGTCAACTGAACATTGATCAGTTGTGAAAAATGCTAGTTGATATGAAAGCCGTCAGAAGTAAAATGGCAAAATTCATAGCGTGTATTTTTTGAAGACTCAAGCAAAAAAGCAGGAAAAATCAGCGACTCACTAAGCTCATGATCTTCTGCATCCATCTCGTCGTACTGCATCTTCAGCGCAGCTAACTCTGTTCGAAGACCTTCTGACCATTCCCTATACTTCTTAGACCTGCACAAAGTTTTCATTTATTAAGACATAGTACGGCATAGCAGTTTAACGCACGTTGACTTCTTCTTCTTCTCATACTCAACTCCGATGTAATTCATTTGCTTGATAATCTTCTGCCGCGAGAATTCGCCATGGCTTTCAGCAAGTCCTGCTCGTATGTAGTTCACGAGGTCCTCTGAGTAGATGTGATAGATATCATGGATAAAAGCAATGATTCTTTGTACCGTCTTTGTTCTCCTTAGCGTTGTACTCTTCAATCAGCTGTTTCATTTGGACAAGAGGAAAGTTGCGGTCTAATATGGACCTAGAATTCAAGCGAGTTCATATGGACTAGTGACTCAATGAAAACATATTCAAAAGAATAAAATTCATAAAAAAGAACATTTGTTCACTTTATGTATGTAATTCTTTTCTTGTAAAATTGCTTTTGAAAAGGGAAGCTGTCCGCCAAGTTGTAGAAACATTGGCTTTCAGAAAACGTGCCACCAAAAGCAACACCTACTTACCCCTTGTTCGCTTTGGCGCCGAGGGGATCCAGATTGAACTCTTTCATTTTGCGTAAAATTTGCTTGCGTGTTCTAGGTCTGCTCAGGTTCGGCTCGATGAAATCAAGCACATCCATTCCTGGAGCAGGTTCAGCGATGCTTCGCGGAGTGAAACTTCGTAAATGCGATTATTTAACGAACCTTCCGGCCTTTCATCCATGTCTCGATATTCGTTGTAAAGTGAGCGTAGTTCATCTTCCAGCTCTTCGGTCCACGTGCCATCGTCTTTACGTTTCTTAGCTCCCCTGAAGTATGCCATTCAAGCTTGAAGTTTCGCATATGTCATAACACGTACTCATAGGTACCGTAGCCATGTTCGATTTCGTAGCACTCCCTAGCGCCTTTCCAGAATAGTATCTCAGGGAAGATTTTGTCGCCAAGCACTTCAAAGCATGAGAAGAACCTTAAACTTCTGCATTGACTTCCTGACTTGATAGAGCAATGTTAGACTTCAACAAAGAAACGAAAACAGAATAAATCATCTCTACTTGCCTCTTCAGCAAATGATAGCCAAAAGTGTAGAGATCAAACAAACGGTTCTTTTTCATGTCCTCTTTTCGAACCCCATCAAAATGCTTTCGCACTTGAGCCAAAATTCGAAATAGCGACAACTGCAGGAAAATAGTATAATCTGATGACTTATGATGAAAATGGAAGCTATGCAAACCTGAAACAGCCTGCTAGGCATCTTCAGATCAAATGCGACCCGATGAAGAAGTTTCACCAAAGCTCTGTTGAGTTCAATCGAATTCGTGGCAAAATCGTTTAGAAGAAATACGTACCTCAAACATGAGAATGGAAACAGCAAATAATGCAAGAAAGATCATATCCCTGTGATTTAATGATAATAACAAAGACTACCATAGAGGAAAATTTTTACTGTTTCAAATCTTAAGCCAGTAAACTCATGGATCCATTTTAGGGAAAACACCAAATGGAAGAAGTCAAACTTACCATCGCAAAACTTCTGTCTTAGCGTACTTGTCAACGTATTCACTGAAGTCGAAGTTTATCTGCAAGGAAGTAATTTTTATGATGAACACAACGATAGTTCTAAGCACCTCTTTTGTTTTATATCTCGGTTCGTCTTCGTCATCTTCATCGCTGTACATGTCTTCATCCTCAGCATCATCTATCAATGAATTTTCAGTGAACTTTTTCTGTGCCGCTTTTTCCGCGTCGAGAAGCAGATCAGCAACCTGAGGTGACATGACGCTTAGAGGGGCATGTTTTGTTCAGTGTCTATACCTGCTTGAGATCTGCAAAGAAGATCTCCCGTAATTCAGACTTTTCTTTCTCAGCATCCATATCGGGTGTGCCAAAAACGCCTGTGACATGTAATATCTATTCGATATATACTTACTATTCTACCGCTTAGTACCGTCAGCTAGCCACATTGCTCTCGATGCTCGATATAAACCCATAGCATCAGCAGGACGCCCTTCACGCAGAGCTCGCTGGACCTTGAGCATAGCAAACTTCCTTAAATACACGTGCAGTATGGGAAAAATAGTATTGCTTTACAGTAGACTCACTGATGCGACTCCTCTTCAACATCGAGCAAAGAGTTGATTGGAATTTGATCTGATGACATTTCGATGTTACCAAGTATGACTTCCATTAACTCGTCGTTGATTCGTGTCCATTTATGCTCAAGATCCTCTTCGCTCATACTGTCTACGACAGCAGGAAGCGGCTCTGGCCCAAATTTCTCTGAAATGGTGGTCTACAATAAAGAGGTAGTAGGTAGCACAAGTTCAAAGCGAGAGCAATGTGAGATTTTTGAGCTGATATAGTTTGAAGTGAGAAGCGTTCCATATTGAAAGCATTATCAAGGAATTTTTAGTACCTGAAAAAGGCTTACATAGAATGGTCAACTGATGCATGATCGCGTGATTACTGAAGATCGGAAAGTTTGTTAAGTAAAAGGTTGTATAAATCACCAGTTCTCATATTTGGGAAACATATCAAAATTCATTCTTGGGTATGCTCATGTAAAAAGCAGCAAGAAAACTACTACACAAATGATAGATAGCATTGTAATTGTATACATGATTCATGACATGCAAAGACTGGGCACCATTGCGTCCGGGCAAGACAGTTCTTCTATGGGAGAGACAGCTGATGGTAAAAGAAACGAAAGGCGTTCGATTAGAGAGACGGCGATACGTCCGCAGTCTTTGCGTGTTATGAATCGCGTGTATGTATTACCTGTGGCCTTCATTCTGTTTGTCTTCCGTCGAACTTTGGTCCTTTTCTTCACTGTTGTGAGCTCACCAGATTTCACACTTTTCTCAAGAAGACGCAAATAGTAATGCGTCGACAAAACAAGTTCGCGAAGGAAGGTCTTTGAGAGTACTCCAGGCTGAACGACACGAAAATAAAAATTGGCAACCGAACTAAGTTGGGAAAACACGTTCCCTTGTGTCACTCACCATGAACTTCCGCATCAACACCACTCCCATCTCTCGATATTCTTCTACAATCAAGATGTGCCCGCAAGTACTATGAGCTATGTCTTTCTCCTCTTTTGAACCATGATCCATAAGATGTTGGTGACTAAATCTCGGCATTGTAATTGATTTGTTTGTAGATAGTCTTCTTTGCTTACAATAAGATTAACTCTTTGTAGGCGCTCAACGCATACTGAGCGCGAATTCCGTAGTATTTGGCTTCTTTGCGCATAGTTGCGGCACTTTCCAGATAGTTACTTATATGAACTTGAATATGGTGAAAAGCCTCCACATGAAGACAAGAGGAAACCTGAGCAGGAACTCAAGTTAAAACCAAATGAATATATACTATCTAACCTTGGAGGATGCACTCTTTGCTAAACGAGTATATTTCAACATGAAAGTCATGAGGAGAAAAAAGTGCAGATCCGCATTCCTCTGTCCTGCTGATAGCCTCGTGTCAAAAGCCTGCAAACTGTAAACTGCCGGAAAAGATCTCTGATGTGATTAAGGCATACCAGCTCTTTTGTACTTTTCAGCAGTCGGTTGAAGCACTTGGATAAGACATCTTCCACAAACTTCTTCAGTTTTATTCGTAACTCCATTGAAGACAGATGGGTTTTTTCCTGAGCGTCGAATGGTCTGCAAGAAAGACCATTAGATTATACCATTAGATCACCCATAACAAATCTACCTGCGATTTTTTGCAATCGTTTTCTTTGCTTTCCTTTCATCCATAAAATTCAAATCGTTTATAGTCTTGATCGGTCTAAAGTAGCGTTATTACAGAACAACTTCATCCAAACTATTTAAGCAAAAAACAATTAGAAAAGGAACTTACTTGACCACTACCATGTCCTTCTCTTTGTTGACAGCTGACAAGCCTTTCACAACGTAGGATCCACAAAACCTGGAGAGAAATAAATATATCTTCACCGAACTTTGATATTTGTCCACATAAAAAGGAATATGAGTGGGTGAGGCTTATCAGTGGTGCAATACTAAGCTCACTAATGTTTGCTTGTAGGTTAACTGGAAGTTCTGAATCCGAACGACACGACATATATATTAACCTCAAGGTTGAACATTTTGAGCTCTCGATCTAAACTACTCATTGGAGATATACCTCGAATGCCTGCTTGCAAGTACTTTCCTCCGTTGCGCATCCAGTTTTGCCTTTTCAGCTTCAACAATTTGTCGCAGCTCTTCTTCCGCCCTTTCCTTCTCTTCAGCTGTTCTATCTCGACCAGCTGCAACGATGTCTTCAACGTTCTAAAGAATTCTAGACTTGCTGGAAAATCATCGATATATTACACAACTCACATGCTCCTTTAGAATCATAGCAAAGATGACTAGAATGGAGAGATGGAAATCTCGCTCTTTTGACTCCGATGCTATATGGATCAAAACCTGAAGGTAGTTTGGTAAGCAAAGTTTGATAACGTGACTGACTAAGCTAACGCACTTGATCGATACCCGACTCTAAAAATGCGGAGATGAGGCGGTCATGACTGCTGATATCTGTCGTGGTTCTCTGAATAAAATTTTGAAAATCAGCAGACGAGGAAAGGAAGCAACATACCTTTCCATCTCTATCAGTCGCAGGGATGGCGAAAATGTACCGTAAAAGAACAATGATACGCTCCATCATCAAACGGTCTTCTTCGAAGCGATCTTCCCATTCCTGCAGAAAAGAGTAGTTTTTTTTAATCAATTTTTGATTTAGAAATTGTTACTTTTGAGTTCAAAGATGGGAAGAGTATGACAGCAATGACTCACTATTTCAAGGAAATACTTTTCTAACTTTTCTTTAAGAACAGTAAAGAACTTGACATCAGCAAAGGCAAGCTTTGCTCTTCTCAAGTTCTCTTCCAGCAACCAGTAAGTCTGCCACTCGTCGCGATCCTCTGGTTGCTTGCCTTGGAGGCTCACAATAGCTGGTTGGGTAAGATTTGCCAGCAACCTATGATACAACTGGAAGCGTAAATCCTAGACGATAATGAAAGACACAAACCTGAGCGTTATATCAAACATCTTGTCTTTGAGATTGTCTGATTTGATGATAGGAATCAAATCGTTGATAATGATATTTCGTTCCCCACATATCTTACGAGCAAGAAGGTTGTGATTATCAGTGCGAAGGAATCTGATCAAGTCGCGTATTGTTTCTATAAAGAAATTCTCAATAGTTCGTGCATGCTACACAGAGATAGAGGTGAAAACTTGTGTCAGAGAAAACTTACCAAAGCAATCAGGTTCTTGGTAATAAACACCATCTTCCAAGTAACCCAAGGCACTGATAGTGCCCTGTATAAGCACTTCCATCTAGAAAATTGCTAATGATAAACTAGATCGACTCTAGAGTTTACACAGATTGAGGATTCGCTTCTCACTATTAAAAGCTTAGAAGGTTTGCAATGGAAGAGGAAGACTTAAATTCTGGTAATGTTGAATTAAGCGGTCTGTATACATTTTATAACCAAAATTTTTCTAGAAGTGTAGAAAACCTATTGAATGTGAATCAAAACTTTGAAATTTTCTATCTCGCGGATGAGAGTGTAATTACACACCACATCAATTCCCGACGTCATGGCTTGTCAGCTGCTCAGGGATTCGCGCCGTGCGAGCGGTCCTCCCATAAGGGCTAGCGGACAACCGGCGGCATAATGCTAAAGCTTCCGTGCGTGCGGCAAATAGTTGAAGCGCCGTTCCAGCGGCAGGCAATGTTACCGTGCAAACAGCCGGCAATACATTTGCTCGAGCGAGCGGCCAACAATGCGTCTTATCGGTCGGCAATACCTGCTGCCGTGCAAGCGGACAACAGTAACCTCTGTCTTCTGCTCAAAATTTTCACACATTGTGAGCATAAATGTTACCTGCGTAAAATACGACGCAGCTTTAGGCTGGCTAAACATTGACGTATCGCTTTACCAACATCCTCTTTCACCAACAAAGCTGAGAACCTTTGAGGTTACATCCATAAGCGTGATGGTGTGGGCTACCCCATGAAAAGTTTGGCCAATGCTGCAAGCATAGATCCATGTTCTTAGAATGTGAGAAGGATTAACATATTCACGAAAAATGGTAAAGATATCTCATCAAATTCTCTCCGACAGCAAGCGAGCGCCCCACCTTCCCTCGCAAGCGGCGAGCATTAGAAACCGTGCGAGCGTCTCACGTTAAAGGCGATGGCTCGGCAAATCTCAGCCTAGTCAAATTTTCGCTTACCTGGGGTAATCCAATACGCTGATCCCAAAAATCCACTTCTGCGAGCTTGACAACGGCGAAAACGAGCGTTTTTCAATGCCCTTCCCTTCGGAAATGGACGAGTGGAGCAAGGCTGATGATGCTGGATCGTTGCGAGACCCAATGTTATAGCATTGCGGCGGGCAGCCTCCAATGGTGAGGAGGGAATTGCCAACTAGTCCGAAAGCGTGTAAGATTGGCCTGCGCGTGTAAGTTTGAGAGCATTTTTTCGGCAGAGAAGGCATGCTGTGCAACCAGGATTGCACTGTTTTCATATTTCAAAATCCTGAGTTGTTGAGTTTTGCCGAGCACTGCCTTTAACCGTGTCAACGGCCACTGACGACCGTGCAGTCGCACACACCAACTAGCGATTGTAAGGTCGTCGCTGGCCGCCCTCACGGCGCGAGTCCCTGAGTGAGTGGTATGAACTTACCTTATACTTTCTATAGCTGAGCAATGCTACGATATTCTTAGTTGATACCTACAAAAAGATATCAACGTAAAATAGCCTTTTTCCCAGAAGTGGAACGTAATCTTTATGAAGGACAGCATGATCTTGCATACAGTCTGCCCCAATCAGGATCAGGCCGAACCGTCGCCTGAATTTGCGCGCTCGCAGCGCTAGGGGATTGCGCTGCATACGCGTGCTGTCGCAGAGAGTGAAGAGATCGAGGAGAGAGCAGACTAGCTAGCCGCAGATGTGGCGCGAAACCCTCGCGGCGCGGATTCCCGCCATGCCGATTTTGGCCTGGTTAATATTGGGGCAGACTGTATGCGAGAGCTAATATTTTTAGCTGCTGGCTGTCAACATACTTTTATTGAATCCGCCACCCTTGTATGGGATATAATGCATTATCATACACTGTACAATACAAAATCTATGTGACTGTAATCACGTTGAGAGTTCACTTTTTTTTGAACGACGCACAAGTTCCTCTAAACAGTTCATCAGCATTTGTGAACTAAGCCGTATCATTTTTCAGTGCGGTCATTCTGGATTCAAACAAATACAAACAGATATGATTTTGTGATCGTAAGCGCAGCAAGCGTTCATAGATCTCGATATACCGTCATCTTCCTGTGACCAAATTGTTAGCATCAGTGAAAGACTAGTCTGTTTTTTGTTTGCGAACACTGGTCTTTGTGCAGGATTCAAACTTGTATAAATATTACAGCACTTCAAAGTGCTTCACTATGCTCAAAAATGGGCAACAAAAATCAACTAAAAAGATCTTTCTAGGATAAGAAATTCATAAATTTCGCCCATCCTAAAACAATGCTTGATTGCAATGATCATAACTTATAATAACGGGCTAAGGATGTTTACGTGACTTTGTGTGTGTGTCTGTCTGTGTGTGTGTGTGAGAGTGTGTCTGTTACGAAATTCGTGGAGCGTGTTCCCGCCAGCGTTCTAAGCCCAAATTTTGCATAGCGCATGCTACCTTCATGAAAGTTCAACATGCAAAAGCATGAGTAAATTCCTTGAGTGGATCCCTCAGAAATTGCGCGCCAAACGGGTCCACCTGGCTTCTGTACCGCAAAATTCGGTCCGTATCACCACTTTTTGCAGAGTCGTGGATGAGTTTGGTAAGCAAATGTGCAAGCGATGGAGCTTAGCCCGAGAAATGGTCGAAAGTTTACTACATAACGAAAACGGCGCCAAAAAGAATTGGTTGTGTAAATGGTCAATTTGCCAAGGTTCTAGCTACGCGTTTGAGAAGATTTTCGCACAGGGATGTAGCTCACGGCTACTATTACCTCTATGGCGACTACCAAGCCATGACAAATCCAAAAACCTATTCAAATTTGCGTTTGTCTTCCTACGAAAAGTTTCATCCACGCGAAGTCACCGATCTCACGTGAAAAAACTTTCTAAATGAGTTATTGTTTACATTTTATTCATGATAGGCGGCATAGCGCGGTGTGTTCCAGTGCCACGATTTTACGAGAATGAGTAATGCCACGATTTTACGGGAATGAGTAAGGCACATAGATAGTAGAGCCAGTGCGAGCCTCTGCGAAGGTGACGCACTGGTGTGCAATAAATCATTAATGATTTTGTAGCAAGGAGCAGATGCATCATTTCGAGAAAAGCCGTTTCGCCAGTTTTGCAGAAATGATAACCACCAAGTCTCAAAGGGGCATCTTAGATGTTGCACAAGAGAGAAAGTAATTGCCACTTGAATTCTAGTTTTTACTGAGGTAGTTTCGGACTCCTAACACCATGATCACAATCGAAATTAAAACAGTGCTGTGCTATTTGCTCGATTTCTGGCAAGCAGATTAAACTCAGGCGGCGAATTCCACGAGGTACGTACGCTGTCCGGATAATTGCCAAACATTTCGCTTTAACGTTAGTGGGGCACAAGGTCCACATTCGCACCGCTGAAACTATATTATTGCTATGTATCACAGGGTAATAATCTCTGATTTGAGGTACCTTACAATTATTTGCCTTGCTAATCAAAGAAGTTCTGTTGTCATTCCAGTGGCCGTATTTATCAACAATAGCGGGTTAGTCTATCCACTAGATTTGCTTGCCCAGTAGGTAGGCTAAGCACAGTTGGTATTCACGTATTCACGAAAGCTTCCGCTGCTGATAGCTTACCCAGCAGCGCTGACGTCGGAAGGGTATACCGAAATCTCACTCTGGCTTTTTCAGTGTGCGTTCTTTACATTTTTGAAAGGCTATCATAACTCCAAAGCGTAGCTTTGCGGTCTTTGCAAGTGGATTGTTGCCGATCGCTTAAGTGAAGCAGTGATCAAAGACTCCATTTCCCCATATCAAACGACACGCTTTGGTAGCATAAGATAAGAGAATTTCAAAACAGGATACTTTTTGTATTTTTGGATTTTAAAAAGTTTAATGTTTGCAAATGCACTGTGCGAGTTGATGCCTAAAACACTACAAAATCAAAAATGCTTGTTTTTTTGCTCGTGCATGATTATTCTGGAAACTTACGGTTGTTTTGGCCCCTTATCTCTGTTATCGTTGCAAATTTCACTCATGATTAATGGCAGCTCATTCTCGATACTTGTTCAAAATAACTTGGTTTCCTGATAAGATTATTTTTCTAGGAGGACTAATTTCGAACCTGCTTGGTACACATTGTGAAGCACTCTTTTTCCATTTACGTTCCTATCAGTTCTATTCTCTGTTTGAAGTTAAGAAATGGCTACAAATGAAGAAAACTTCTATGACTTATTGTGTTCCAGAAGTATGCATTATATTGTTACATAAGTGTTCCACCCAGTAGCTTCACATCAACAAGTCAACTTTCACACCGTTACGCACTGAGGTTTATTCGATAGAGCAAGGTAAGCTCTACAACTAGTTATGCAAATATTTACACTAACATTGGTCCACGCGAAGTTTGGAGCCAAAAACTGGAGAAATCCGAGTGGCCAAAAATAGAAAGGAAATCCAATTCCGTCCAAAAATCCTACCGACTTTAAATTTATGAAACTTTGATATGGAATGTGCATGCTTGAAAAAGGAAAAGGCACTGATCGATAAACGGCTTGGTTGCCATTCAATTCATTTCTTCATTTTTCTGGTAGCTGCAATTTTCTTTCTGATCTACACGTGTATCTCCTCTGATCTCCTTGTATCTCGTCGTTAAAGCTCAATGAGCACTTCAACAGCCACGCCAAATTCATTTTCAAAAAAATCCATTCCGATATTCTGGAAAAGCTCATTCAGCTACTATATAAAGTAATCTTTGGCTATATCATACATACTTTAGATTATTACCAAGTTTTCTCAGCCTGTAATGGTAGTTTATGGCAAAACCCCGCTTTCAGGCATTTGTAGCGTATAATAAAAGTTCAGAAAGTAAATTTTACACTTAAAACTTACATTTACATTTAAGCAAGAACTTGACAAGTTTGCACAAACATGTTTAATAACAATCAAGCTTTGACTCGCTCTACTTAAGAGAACACTCTGATTTTCTTTACAAAACCATAGAAACTTTTATCTAATTTCTAGCAAAAAAGAAAAATACAGCAACTTCTTCATATAAGTGTGGTGTGGGAATGGTAAGCAAGCAAAGGAGCCGTACTATGTTGCAACAGGGTGACATAATTTTTGTCGATTATTTGGGCATTT